TGATCTCCCTTTTTAATGTTGGTTTAACTGTTGCTTTAAAATGACGGTCAGCAAATTGTAAATGTTTAGCCTTCCCTTCTCCTGTCCTCCATCAACAGGGTGATCGAGAAGAAGCAGAATGCTGTGGACGATTGCATTAGGATGATGACCTCGAACATTCTTCAGAAGGAGAGGGCTCAGCACAGCGAGCAGTCGGAGCAGCTTAGCTTCCTGCTGAGTGAGAATGTGGCCCTGCAGAAGGATAAGGACGCCCTGCAAGCGAGAGAGAGTGACATTTTTGCTGAGATGGATAACCTGAAGAAAGATCTCAACGGGATCACCAAGGAGAGTTTCACCCGCAAGAAGGTAACAGGGCTTCTATTGACAATTTGGTATAAGTGTTATAGAGGGAGTATCCGGATTTGAACCAGAGACCTCTTGATCTGCAGTCAAATGCTCTGCCACTGAGCTATACCCCCATATTGTCTTTTGCATCTTGGTCAGGGTCTCTGTTGTTTTTTCATGTGGGACCTGGCCTCACTGTTTGTTAGAGAATATGTGTAACTAACCACAGTGTTTCCCCTATATTCATTCAGGAGCTACTAAAATTTCCCACGATCATTAAACAATACGCTACTGATGCTTTCACTTGCACACGGTGCTGTTATAAAAGCAGAGTAGCTCCTGTAAGGAATCGGGAGCTGTGTAGCGAGTGTTTAATTGACCTCTGGCAGCTTGATTACATACAAAGTCAATGCAAAGACGCAAATTTCAATTTCAAATCTCTCCCGGCGGCGCAAATGAGGCGTTTGTTGCGAAATCCGCTTGAGACGATGTTGTGAAAGCCTATCGGCAATGAAATTGTCCAAACGTCACCGGCGGCTTTGGAGCGTTGTTTGGAGAGGACCTGGTGAGCGGTGTAATGACAATCTGCTGGCCGACGGAGGGCTGCTAAAGAACGGGGAAGTCTACGGGCAGCAGTGCTGCAGCTTTTAGACAAATAAACACCCATAGTCGGTCTGGATTCTGCTGAACTACGCCACTTACCCGCGGAAGGAGCTCAGAGTTAACTGCTTTTATTAATTTAGCTTTTTACTTTAGTTTTTGGGATTACAACTTGATTTATCTTCACTCGCGCTTCTCAGTAGCTAGCTTCCGTGCACATCCAGCGTCGGATGGCATCGGAGCTCTGCTGGATTACTACTTCATATTTATATAAACCCGGACAAAGCTGGACATTACTTGGAGAAAAGAAAGCGAGGAAGTTGAACTACCTGGTGAGTTCCGAAAATGTGTGTCTGTAACTTTATTCCAGCTATCGTTGTTCTTGACTGTGAACAGGTTAGCATAGCATAGCCCTGATTGATCCAAACTCCATTCAGAAAACAAATATTTTAAAAGTTGTTGTCCTGCTGACAGACCTGACAAAGCATGAATTCATATGTCTAACAAAACGGCATCATATTAAAATCAATATTAAATTTGCTTTCAGTGTGAAGTCTACAAGTTTGAAATGAGAAATATCACGCCCACTTTGGGCAATCATTACCAATTTTTATCCAACAACTGAGTAGGTACCCTAGATCGTACAAACCGAATTCTGTACGAATCCATGCAGCGAATTACGAGGTATAAACTTTTTGCAAGTGTAGTGCCCCCTAGTGGAAGAATATCCCAGGACTGCTAAGTAAAGCTCTGAAAAGATGCTTCAAGTTTGGTTATAATGGATTATGCCAATTTTGATTTACGGGCATTTATCTAAAAATGTACGTAAAGACACAAAAATTAATAAAAAAAACCCAAAACAGACCAACTTATCAAAATTCTTTAGATAACTTTTGATCAGTTATGTCCGTAGATGATCATGTGCAAGTTTCAGGTCAATTGACCCTTCGCTAAGCCACGCCCCGAATACAAAACTGGCCAATCACAGTGCAGTATAGGACTTTCTCAACTGAGGTCCGACACTTTCATGGATGCGCTCCATTGACTCCAATGCAAAAAGAGTCATTTTCTAGCTTTTGGCTGTATTTTTCTAAGATATGGTCAAACGCTGTTCCTTGGGCACTTGTAATAGTTACAGTCATTACCCAGAGAGGTTGATAGGAGAAGTACGATTTATTCTCTTTGTAAAACCTAAATTAAATCCAGAAAAATGTCGGCTGTGGATTATTCCTAATGTAATGTTAGTTAGCTAACGCTAGCTAACTTCCTACTGAATGTAATGTAATAAAGCCATACTGTTCTGCTTTTTAATGATTGCAATAATGAATAGAGGCTTACCCAGCTTTACAGGTACAGTGTTGATCCTTAATATCGTTGTCTTTTGTCTCAGTGGTCGGGGGATGCGGTGGTTCACTTGTACTGTGTGATTGGTAGGCTTTAGCCTCTATCTTTCATTTTTTTTCCACGTCAGTTTGACAGCCTGAATACAACCTTCAAATGTATAATGCAACTGCAAAACTGTCTGCTTCTATCTGAGATCACTTTTCCAACAAATTTGACAATATTTCTCCAGGCAGTGCAGTAATAGACAGTGGCGGCGCCAACAGTTTGTTGGACTTAGGAACAGTAACTAAGGGGGGCGGGCTTAGTGAAGGGTCCATTGGCGAACCGTCTGGGACGAGTTCGCAAAAAATATAAAAAGTCGGCAAATTTGACATTTTTAGAGCAGAAGACCATTGGAGCAAACATGCAGATGAATCCAGAGATTAAAATGATGAAAGAAGTTCTCAACAAAGCCGTTTTCAAGATAATTGCCAAAAAGTTAAGTTGATTGTTATAGCGCCACCATGAGGTCAATTATTGGTGAGTTTTCATCTAGCAGCTTTTGTTGCCCAAACACTTTTAGAGAGAAAGAAGAAAGAAAGAAGAAGAAGAATGAGAACAAAACCAATAGGGCTCCAGCAGCTTCTCTGCTTGGATCCCTAATAACTTTTCCAAAATCAAATAGTAGTCGCTCCGCAGACAAAATTCTTCAGCAAGCTTAGTCCTTATGCTTTCTAGTTGTTGTTGTTTAGTTATTATGTGCTCTAGCTATTAATTCAGTTATTTGTTCACAGATATGGTTAAAAAAATAATGGTCCCAAATTATGTGAAATTGCATATTTTTCTTTTGAAAAAGTAAAAGAATAAGTTACCTGGAACCGATGCCGCTTTTCTCATCTCGCGAGCTAAACAGCTTTTAATCGCTGTTTTGTGGTAGTTTTTTTAAAAGAACAAACTGAAAAAAGGAGCAGAAACTATCATTGAACTTCTAATTGGAGGTTAGACTTAGAGGTGTTGGTCCAAATCCAAATTCACATTCTGAGCTCACAAGTCAAGACTTGACTATGAAGAAAGACCCACAGGTTGTCTCCAAGCAGTTCTCGGTTCAGCTGGTGCAAGAAGTCTCTCTGTGGTTGTCAACTCTCTTATATTTTCCTCTGATCACAAACAGAGAGGAAATTAAAGGCTGCTGGAGAATGCGGGCATCGATCCCGCTACCTCTCGCATGCTAAGTGAGCGGTCTACCATTTGAGCTAATCCCCCTGTGTCAAATGCACACGCTTGAGTCGTCTGCTTCCCCCTCCCCGCTATGCCTTTCCTGACATTTCAGGCCTATGTAAACCACTCTTAATGGTGACCTGGATCGGACTGTTACTGTAAAATTCAAGCAACAGCAGACGAGGTGGCCGAGTGGTTAAGGCGATGGACTGCTAATCCATTGTGCTTTGCACGCGTGGGTTCGAATCCCATCCTCGTCGCAGAATAACCATCTTTAGTCTCCCATGTTTCTCAACAGAGTCATTAATCTGCCATGTTTAACGGGCAACAACATAACTGTCTCCAATGTAGCAACCTTGTTTGGAACAATAAGGTCAGTCTCTCAACATCTGCCATGTTTAATAGGCAACAACATAACTGTCTCCAATGTAGCAACCTTGTTCGGAACAATAACGTCAGTTTCTCAACAGATATGTTCTCATCCTCCTTGATACATCCTTGTCGCAGTACAACCATCTTAAGTCTCCCATGTTTAACAACATAACTGTCTCCAATGTAGCAACCTTGTTTGGAACAATAAGGTCAGTTTCTCAACATCTGCCATGTTTAACAGGCAACAGCATAACTGGCTCCAATGTAACAACCTTGTTTGGAACAATAAGGTCAGTTTCTCAACAGAAATGTTCTCATCCTCCTTGATACAGCCTTGTTGCACTATAACCATCTTTAGTCTCCCATGTTTCTCAACTTTCTTGCAGTAAATTGCACAGTGTGCGGACCCCCACTGAGCTCACAAGGGAGTTAAGACTTGACTATGAAGAAAGACCCAAGCAGTTCTCGGTTCAGCTGGTGCAAGAAGTCTCTCTGTGGTTGTCAACTCTCTTATATTTTCCTCTGATCACAAACAGAGAGGAAATTAAAGGCTGCTGGAGAATGCGGGCATCGATCCCGCTACCTCTCGCATGCTAAGCAAGCGCTCTACCATTTGAGCTAAATCCCCTGTGTCAAATGCACACGCTTGAGTCGCCTGCTTCCCCCTCCCCGCTATGCCTTTCCTGACATTTCAGGCCCATGTAAACCACTCTTAATGGTGACCTGGATCGGACTGTTACTGTAAAAACCAAACAACAGCAGACGAGGTGGCCGAGTGGTTAAGGCGATGGATTGCTAATCCATTGTGCTTTGCACGCGTGGGTTCGAATCCCATCCTCGTCGCAGAATAACTGTCTTTAGTCTCCCATGTTTCTCAACAGAGTCATTAATCTGCCATGTTTAACGGGCAAAAACATAACTGGTTCCAATGTAACAACCTTGTTTGGACCAATAAGGTCAGTTTCTCAACAGAAATGTTCTCATCCTCCTTGATACAGCCTCGTTGCACTATAACCATCTTTAGTCTCCCATGTTTCTCAACAGAGTCATTAGTCTGCCATGTTTAACGGGCAACAACATAACTGTCTCCAATGTAGCAACCTTGTTTGGAACAATAAGGTCAGTTTCTCAACATCTGCCATGTTTAACGGGCAACAATATAACTGGCTCCGATGTAACAACCTTGTTCGGAACAATAAGGTCAGTTTCTCAACAGAAATGTTCTCATCCTCCTTGATACAGCCTTGTTGCACTATAACCATCTTTAGTCTCCCATGTTTCTCAACAGAGTCATTAGTCTGCCATGTTTAACGGGCAACAACATAACTGTCTCCAATGTAGCAACCTTGTGTGGAACAATAAGGTCAGTTTCTCAACAGAAATGTTCTCATCCTCCTTTATACACCGCCGCATTTACTAAAAACAAATGTCTTGCAGTCCTCTAGTCTTCACACATTCCGTTGAACAATACATCCCAATTGGAGACTACAATAGGAACTCACAAGGGAGTTAGTTCAAATGGTAGTGCACTGTCTTAGCATGTAAGAGGTAGTGGATGTTATGCCTGAATTCCCCATAAGAATTTCCTTTCCTCTGTTCTGTTTTTGATAAGAGGAGATAGTTGAAAAATGCATAGATCTTGCTACCTCTCGCAGAGTAAACTCTGCCAATTGAGCTAATTCCCCAGTGCGTTGACCAACTGGTGTGGCTTCGCCTCACTCCTCCTCGTCCCCAATGATCATGTCATACAACCTTTAAAGAGGAACAATGCAAAGATGGTCACTTCCATTCACTACATCCAACACCACATCTGACAATTCCACAAACATTGCTGTGTGAAATCCATCCTTCTGATAAGCAGACTTGCAGTAAATTGCACAGTGTGCGGACCCCCACTGAGCTCACAAGGGAGTAAAGACTTGACTATGAAGAAAGACCCACAGGTTGTCTCCAAGCAGTTCTCGGTTCAGCTGGTGCAAGAAGTCTCTCTGTGGTTGTCAACTCTCTTATATTTTCCTCTGATCACAAACAGAGAGGAAATTAAAGGCTGCTGGAGAATGCGGGCATCGATCCCGCTACCTCTCGCATGCTAAGTGAGCGGTCTACCATTTGAGCTAATCCCCCTGTGTCAAATGCACACGCTTGAGTCGTCTGCTTCCCCCTCCCCGCTATGCCTTTCCTGACATTTCAGGCCTATGTAAACCACTCTTAATGGTGACCTGGATCGGACTGTTACTGTAAAATCCAAGCAACAGCAGACGAGGTGGCCGAGTGGTTAAGGCGATGGACTGCTAATCCATTGTGCTTTGCACGCGTGGGTTCGAATCCCATCCTCGTCGCAGAATAACCATCTTTAGTCTCCCATGTTTCTCAACAGAGTCATTAATCTGCCATGTTTAACAACATAACTGTCTCCAATGTAGCAACCTTGTTTGGAACAATAAGGTCAGTTTCTCAACATCTGCCATGTTTAATAGGCAACAATATAACTGGCTCCGATGTAACAACCTTGTTTGGAACAATAAGGTCAGTTTCTCAACAGAAATATTCTCATCCTCCTTGATACAGCCTTGTTGCACTATAACCATCTTTAGTCTCCCATGTTTCTCAACAGAGTCATTAGTCTACCATGTTTAACGGGTAACAACATATCTGTCTCCAATGTAGCAACCTTATATGGAACAATAAGGTCAGTTTCTCAACAGATATGTTCTCATCCTCCTTGTTGCACTATAACTATCTTAAGTCTGCCATGTTTAACGGGCAACAATATAACTGGCTTCAATGTAACAACCTTGTTTGGAACAATAAGGGCAGTTTCTCAACAACTGCCATGTTTAACGGGCAACAATATAACTGTCTCCAATGTAGCAACCTTGTGTGGAACAATAAGGTCAGTTTCTCAACAGAAATGTTCTCATCCTCCTTTATACACCACCGCATTTACTAAAAACAAATGTCTTGCAGTCCTCTAGTCTTCACACATTCTTTTGAACAATACATCCCAATTGGAGACTACAATAGGAACTCACAAGGGAGTTAGTTCAAATGGTAGTGCACTGTCTTAGCATGTAAGAGGTAGTGGACGTTATGCCTGAATTCCCCATAAGAATTTCCATCCCTCTGTTCTGTTTTTGATAGATCTTGCTACCTCTCACAGAGTATGCTGCCCCTTCCTCTTCCCGCCATGCCTTTCCTGACTTCCCCGGCCTATGTATACCACTCTTCATGTTGACGTGAATAGGCTTTTAGCGTACAACCCAAGTAACAACATGCTACGGATGCTAAGCGAGCGCTCTACCATTTGAGCTAATTCCTCATATCTAAGTGGTAGTCATCCTCAGATTCCATTTCATTAAAATTCCATTATTATCATACACGCTTCGGAGCACACTGGTCTTGAGAGCCTGTCTCCCACTAAGGATTAAAATTATTTTTTTGCTACGTAATGTAAGTTTTCAGCATACTATGAATGCTAACATGGTCACAGTCACAATAAACAGTGAAAGTAACAAGAAAAAGCATGTACTGCGAGTCAAGAATCCTGAATAGATAATTCAATCCCTTTTAAAATTAAAGTGCTGTACATTGTCTAAAAGTAAGAGGCAGTGCACACTGCAAATTGTTTTCTTTTCAGTATTCTTTGGTATTTCAAATCCCGTTGTGATATTTAATGACTTCTTTTTACTGCTGGTGTAGATTATCGTAATTTTGTTTTTACTTTCACCCTCTATTTTTCTCACAATATTTTAATACAAATATGTTCCGTTTGAAATTGGTCTGTTCTAACAAATACACAAGGTAGACCTTCCTTTACCATGTCCTCCATTTTTGATTAATAAAAATCTCCAAATTCATTCAACATCTTCGTTTCTTTAGGAGGTGGAGCAGCTGACGAAGAAGTGCCGGCAGCTGGATGTGAAGCTAAAGGACTCTAGCATCAACCACCAGCACATGATGGCTGAGGAAGAGACTCTAAGGTAAAAGTTTCATCCTTTCATACTTTCCATTAATAATAATAATATATTAAGTATATCGCATTTCATTATATTACTTATGGCCGCCTCAGTTCACAACAGTAAGCAGATAATCCAAGCGACATTACTGTAGGGATGATGAAGGGGACATTGGAGTTGAACCATAGACATCTTGATCTGTAATCAAATACTCTACCACTGAGCTATACCTCCCACCTTAAGCTGCCCTTCTCTTATTTTGTTTTTAGACAGCGCCTGGCCTCTGTGTCCGAGGAATGCCGTCAAAAAACAGCCGAAGTAGGTCCACTTAGGGCTGAGCTACAGAGGGAGAGGAGCAGGAGGAGGCAGCTAGATAGCGTCATGCAGGAAGCAGCCATCATTCTCAGAAACATCCTGGAGGTAAGAAAACAACTGCACCAGGAGCATCAGTACAGCTTCTCTATTTTCTGGAATATCATCTTATATTTGGGAGCAGTATTCCAGAGATATTTATCATATTCAGATGCTTTAGGATAAACTAAGGATCTTTAGCAAGTCAAAAACAATCCAACAATGTTTAATAATAATAATAATAATAATCCTTATTTGTAGAGCACTTTTCAAAAACAAGTTACAAAGTGCTTTAACAAGTGTAAAGAATAATACAAAAAAAAGATAAGAGCATGAAAATTTAATATAAAATTAGTAAAATACAATAAAATAAAAGGGATAAAATAGAGTCAAATAAGATCGGGAAAAGCTCTCCTATAAAAGTATGTTTTAAGAAGGGACTTAAAAGAGTTCACTGACTTAGCCGACCTGATTTCCTCGGGCAGGCTGTTCCAGAGCCTCGGGGCCCTGACAGCAAACGCTCTGTCCCCTTTAGTTTTCAGTCGAGACTCTGGAACAGACAACAGACCTCTGCCCGAGGATCTCAAGGTACGTGCTGGTGCGTATGGGACTAAAAGGTCAGAAATATAACAAGGCGAGAGGCCATGAAGAGCTTTAAAAGTGATCAATAGAATTTTAAAGTCAATTCTAAAACATACTGGGAGCCAGTGTAATGAAGCTAAAATAGGAGTAATGTGGTCATATTTCTTTGTTCTGGTTAAAAGCCTGGCAGCTGAGTTCTGGACAGTCTGGAGTCGATCAATAGATTTTTGGGTTAAACAGGTGAAAAGGCTGTTGCAATAATCCAGGCGTGATGAGATGAAGGCGTGTAAAATGGTCTCGGTGTCCTTAAAAGTTAACATAGATCGAATTTTAGCTATATTTCTAAGTTGATAAAAACATGATTGAACAAGCTTTGTGGTGTGCTGCTCGAAATTTAAATTACTATCAAACCAAACACCAAGGTTCTTTGCCACAGGCTTAATGTGATTTACTAGGGAACCAGCAGATGGTAGTATTTGATTTGCCATCTGCTGGGACCCGATGACCAGGATTTCTGTTTTGTCTGAGTTCAGCTGGAGGAAATTATTTGACATCCATTTTTTAACTTCACAAAGGCAGTTGTTAAGTGAACTCAGCATTCCAGGGTCTGTGGATCTGACAGGCAAGTATATTTGTGTGTCATCAGCATAAATATGAAAAGAAATGCCATGTTTATGGATAATATGTCCAAGGGGAAGCAGATACAAGGAAAACAAAATGGGTCCTAAGACCGACCCCTGAGGCACACCATATTTAACTGGACAGAATGAAGAGACATAGTTGTTTACAGACACGCAAAACTTCCTATTTGACAGGTAGGATGAAAACCATTCTAGAGCAGTACCAGAGATCCCCACCCAGTGCCTCAGTCTGTCTAACATGATGTTGTGATCAATGGTGTCAAAAGCAGCGCTAAGGTCCAGGAGTACAAGGACTGAGCACATACCTTCATCAGCAGACATTAAAAGGTCATTGGTGACTTTAAGCAGGGCAGTCTCAGTGCTGTGGTACTTCCTAAAACCAGACTGAAACTTTTCAAATATTTTGTTATTTTCCAGCACAGTGAGCAGCTGTTTGGACACAATTCTTTCTAGAATCTTTGCAATAAAAGGCAGTTTTGAAATTGGTCTAAAATTTTGTGGGAGGGAGGGATCTAAACCAGGTTTCTTTAAAAGTGGGTTCACGCAAGCCGTTTTAAAATAATCAGGGACACAACCAGTAGATAGGGAGCTGTTGAAAACAGAGATCAAATGGGGCCCAACAGAATCTATTACTTTTAGTAAAAATTTTGTAGGTATTATATCAAGTGGGCTGGAGGACACTCTCATTTGTGATATTGTTTTTAAAAGCTCAGACAAGTCGATGGGATAAAAGTGGTTAAAACTCTGTTGTTGCTGGTGAGGAACCTCTGAGTAAGAGGCCACGGGGGTAATAGAGGCTCTGATTGACACCACCTTATTGGTAAAATAAGATAAAAACAATTCACAGTCATCATTACTTCCAGCTGAGGCACAAGGAGGGGTTGGGTTTACCAGCTGATCCACAGTCTTAAACAGAAACCTGGGATTGTGTTTATGTGTAGTAATGAGTTCAGAAAAATAGTGTGTTCTCGCATCCTTAACCATGTTATTGTAGTTAATTAATAAATCCTTCAGACTGAGGTAATGGACTTGGAGATTGGATTTTTTCCATCTGCGCTCTGCTTTCCTGCATTCCCTTTTTAGGCTGCGAATGCTGTCATTTATCCAGGGTTGCTTACTAGCTTTAGACGTAGGCCTAACCTTTAGAGGAGCAGTAATATTTAGTGACGACAAGCAGATATGATTGAAGTGATCAACCAGATTGTTGGTGTTGGAATCAGACAGGTGTTGGCTTTGGCTCTGAAAGACTGCGCAAAACTTTGAAACACTTTGTTCATTAAAGATGCGACAACACACGGAGCTTGGTGAGGCGGCATGAGTAACAGGCAAATCGCAGCTAAAAACAATACATCTGTGGTCAGATATGGTCATGTCCACTAATTCCACAGAGGAAATGCTGACACCCAGGGTAAAAACCAAGTCCAGTGTATGACCACGGTTATGTGTTTGCCTTTTGACATGTTGTTTGAAGTTAAAGAAGTGGCCAAATTTAAAAAGTCAGCTGCATTAACATTTTGGGGTCATCAACATGAATATTAAAATCGCCACAAAGAACAATTCTGTCATAATTTAAAACCAGAGTAGATAAAAATTCAGGAAGTTCTGATAAAAATCCTCCAGGCGGTTTTGGGGGGCGATAAATTATAACAAATATGATAGGTTGCAGCCCTCCAACTTTAAGAGTGAGAACTTCAAAGGAGCTAAATTCATCACAGCGTACTTGATGACATTTAAAATTTTTCCTATACACGCTCACTAGCCCACCACCACGACCACTGACCCTCGGTTGACTAAAGCAATCATATTGAGGCGGACACAGTTCAGCTAGCTGGCTATAGTCATTCATTTGCAACCAGGATTCAGTTAAAAACATAAAATCTAGATTTGCAGACAAGATAAAATCATTTAAGATAAAAGTCTTACTTGAAAGTGATCTCACATTGAAGAGAGCCATTTTAAATGAGTTTGTTCTGGGTGCTGGAGTTGGTGCAGTTGTCCTAATCCTTAAGAGATTACTAATATTTCTGTGTGGGATGTGCACATTTCGGTTTACTGGTCTATGCGTGATGATGACAGGAATAGAAGTCTGTGGAACAGCGCTGGGAGCAGACGGCTTTACATGCCAGCAGGTGGAGACAGTTGTTTGTGGCAGTGAGGCAGAGATCTGTTCTGTGAGTGGTGGTGTGTCCAGGTGTGCTGCATGAATGATGAGTCATTCACGTAAGTCATGTGTGGACCGCACCACATGCTGTATGTGCGCAGCTAACATTTCTGAGCCCCGTTTGTTTGGGTGAAGTCCGTCTGTCTTAAAAAGAGACATTCTTTGCCAGAAAATATTAAAATTATCCACATAACACACACGGTGAGCCCTGCAGGCGGACTGGAGCCAGTCGTGGAGGCCAAGGAGTCTACTGAAGCGGCCAGCACCGCGACCGACTGTGGGAATGGGACCAGAGATAAAAACGGACTTTCCGCACTGCTTTAAAAAGTTAAGGAGACGGTTAAAATCTAATTTTGTCAGCTCAGACTGCCGAAGAGCTGTGTCATTTGTTCCGACATGGACTATCACTCTTGTGATGGAGGACGGGAGCGACGGCATCAGGTCCTGGAGTTTTTTTAAAATGTCAGCTGTGGTGGCACCGGGGAAGCAGCGAGTGGTAGCGTTAAAGAAACGGAGGTTTCTGGTTATGGAGTCACCAATTATTAGTGTGGTTGGGGAGAAAAGAGGACGAGGAGATGCTGGTTGTTGGGATCCAGAGCAGGACTGAGCAGAATCTGCTTCAACACTGCGTGCGGACTGAGGATGGAGTGTGTGAGCTGCCGAGTGTTGTGTTGGAGTAGCAGTAACAGACCTGAGAGAAGGGCTACCCGACGGTGCAGGGTGGAGACGGCCTCCGGAGCGTCTGAGCACAGCCTCCTTCAGGATCCTACGTCGAGAAGCGGAGGTTTTTGACCGGGATGACGGCCGCCGATCAAGTCCGGCGGCAGACCGGCGGCCCAGTGCAGGAGATGTAGCCGGTGGCGGAGATGCAACAGTGTCGGCAGGCACTGTGCGCCGAAAGAGATCCGTATCAGGGAGACTCGAAGCCGCAGGTGAATCCGCTGGATGGACCGGAGTGTCGTTAGACAAGGCTGCATAGCGGTTGGAGAGGCCGATGTCCGGAGGAGAGGCAGCCCCATCCGAGCCTCTCTTGCAGCCACGGACCACCACTTCAGCCCAGGTTGACTGATGCTTCGGAGTCGAGCAGGATGAAAGCCTGGGAAGACTAGAGGGGTCCCAAAACACGGTGTCCTGGATGTTAGCGGTTGCGCTAAGAGAAACAATCTGTTTGGCTTGTACTGAAGCTACATCCATAAAGCCAGTCAGCAGGGAATCTTTCTCTTTGAGTTCCTCTGAAAGTCGTCGGATGTCTTCCATAAGGTCAGCAATCTTCTTGTTCGCTTTCTTAAGGAGTGAGCAGTCCTCAAGGGGCAGAGTTATCTCGGCTTGCATAGTCACCGGAGCTTTGTTGCGATCAGTAGCGTTGATCGCGTTTTTACGGTCATCTATCTTAAAATCCATGTCGGATGACTAAAAGCCTTAACCCACGTAAAACTTAAATAAAGTTAAGTTAAATAAAAGGATATAAAAAATGTAACGAAAAAGTGGATTAAAACTGGATAAGAGTCCGGTTCAAGACGGAGCTTCCGACAGGTGGCTACAGACGCCAACGCATGCGCAGAGTGCAGATTTCGTCAGCAATTACGTCAGAGATCTTGTGACAAGATGATGCAAGTCAAGTAAAACTTAATACTCCATTACAAATAACGTTTTTTATTAGAAAGAGCTGAACGTTCCTAGATATC